CAACTCAGTGGTAGAGTTCTTGCCCAATATGTACAATGCCTTGGGTTTGATTTCCTAAAACTGAAAAAAAAAATTAAGAAGAAATATTAAAAGGAGCTATAGACATAGGATATTTCTACTCAGTATTAGGGCACCAAGGATGCACAAATCTCTGGGTCCAATCACCAACACACAAATGCAAAGCAACCCCTGACCCTCAACATTCTAGAAGGCTAGAAGAAGAATCAATGGAACTCCGTGTGTAAATCTATGGTCTCTTGGTTCTTGCTATGGAAACACCTTTAAAGCATAATGGTTTAAACAGAAGTCTATGGAATGACACCTTCAACGAGCAGATCTCCTTTGACCCGGACAGCTCAGCAGGGTCCAGTCTGAGTAAGGCTTGTGTGAGTGAAACAGTAACAGCGCAGTGCAGAATGGTGGTTTCAGAGTTGCTCAGAGTAGATGTAGGACTGCAACAGAGAACAGACTTGAGAGGAAAGACAAGGGAGTTCCTTAAATATGAAGTGGTTGGCTGTAGCAGAACAAAGTTACATACTAGATCACAAGCACACAGCAAAGTTGAAACTAAGTAACCAATGAGGGAAATAGCATGTAGTAATTAGGAGCAGCAGGGCTGCATTCCCAGCACCCCAGCTGCCTGGCTAGCTTATGCCCCGAAATAACAACACACAAATTGTATTCATTTAAACACTGCTTGGTCCATTTCTATCTAGCCTCTTTTAGGCTAATTCTCACATATTAATTTAGCCCATTTCTAATCATCTGTGTAGCACCGCTAGGTGCGCTTACCAGGAAGATTCTAGCCTACGTTCATCCTGGGTTGGAGCTTCATCGCGTGTGCCCCAGAGAGCAGAGCTATTGCATCTCGCATCTACCCGGGAGAGGGGAGCACGGCGGCGTTCTGAGCTGACTTCCTCTTTCTCCCAGCATTTTGTTCTGTTTACTCCTCCCACCTATGTTTTAACCTATCAGGGCCAAGCAGTTTCTTTATTGCTTAACCAATGAAATCAACAGATTGATATATGACACTCCCACATCAATAGCACACAATCAAAAAATATATATCCCATTAAACCTAACAAAGAGGAAAAGAGAAAAGATGAGCAATGAGTGGCTAAACAGAAAACAAACAGTAAGCCGCAAGCCTTTACCCCCAGCACTGCAGAAGCAGTATTAGAAATCTAAGGTCATCCAGGGCTACATCCTGAATTGAAGGTCAGCCCAAGGTATATGAGATTCTACCTCAAAAAGCAAACAACAACAAAAATCCCTTGAGAGGCAAAGCCAGGAAGATCACTTTAAGTCTGAGGTCAACCTGGTCTCCATAGTGAATTCCAGGCCTACCAGGGCTATGTGGTAAGACCTTGCCTCCAAAAAAGGTGAAGGGTTTTAATTGTATCAATAGTCATGGGACAAGATTTCCATAGTCAGAGCCAATTAGGGTTTAAAAGAAAAAAGACTCAATTATGGTTTGCAAGAAACTCACTTCAACCAGTTGTTACAACACATACCTTTAATCCCAGCACTTGGGCTGAAGAAGTGGGTGGATCACTGTAAATAGGCCAGGCTGGGCTATGAAGTGAGTTCTAGGACAGCCAGGGCTATGTAGAAGGTTCCTCTCTCAAAAAAAAAAAAAAAAAAAAAAAAAAACAGCAGAGCATACAACCACATTTGAGGTCATAGAATTGGAATAAGCCATTTTCATAAATTTGAAAGGATCCAAGTAATTTGAAAGGATCCAAGTCATAGTGGAATTAAATTGGAACCACAGATTCATAGCGAACTTGTATCAAACTAAAATTTTACACAAGGGTGCTATGGGATAATGCTCTTGTACATTATAAAGATTTGTCACTCATATTGGTTTAATAAAACACTGATAGGCCAGTAGCCAGGCAGGCAGTATAGGTGAGGCAACCAAACTAGGAGAATTCTGGGAAGAGGAAAAGCAGAGAGTCAGTCACCAGCCAGATGCAGAGGAAGCAAAATGAGACTGCCTTACAGAGAAAAGGTACCCAGTCACATGGCTAAACATACACAAGAAGTATAGGTGAATTTAAGTCTTAAGAGCTAGTTAGTAATAAGCCTGAGCATAGGTCAAACAGTTTATAATTAATATAAGCCTCTAAGTGTTTATTTGGGACTGAACGGCTGTTGAACTGGCAGAACAAAACTTCTGTCTACACAGCAGGGTGTAGGGGAGAATAACCTAGGGGTGTCACTCAGTGGTAGAACACCTGCCTAACACACCAAGGCTCTAGGGTCAATCCTCAGCACAGCAAAACTCTGGCTGACCTGTCTGAAGGAATTAAAAGGAAGATCCTAAAATTAATATGGGAACGAGGGACCCAGAAGAGTGGACATAACCTACAAAAAGAACAAACTTTGAGAATTGCTTTATAGATCTCAACACTGACTTTAAGTATCTGCAAAGCACAACTTTAATGTCAAAAGAAATAAGAAATGGTTTATTCTGAGTGACTCAGGAACAATGGCTCTGAATGATGCGTCCCATTGTGAAAGCAGAGACAGTCGTGATAATGTAAGGCATTTACTGGGCACACTGGTGCATCAGGTAGCAGGCATATTGCAACCAAGGAAATCAGTCTATTGTATAGCCTTCTTTCTTTGGGCTCGTGGAAGTGAAGAGTCTCCTAAATTAATACATTCCAAAGGCTTTAGTCTGATAGCCGCAAGGATGGGTGATATGGAGGAGGAGGATGAACAGCTGTAAGTGACTGGGGACAGCTGGAGAATCTTGGTTCTCAACCTGTAAGACCTGCAACACTGCAACTTTCCAGAGTCATAGAAGTTCAATCAAACTGTAGAACCTTTAGCCTGGGCGGGTGTGGCCTTTTCAGGGACCTCCCATTTGCACCACAGTACTTATGGTACTGTACAAGTACAAAGGTGAATATAGGGACCAACTGAAAGTCCAGGAAAACCCTCCCATTTAAAAAGGAACTGATTTCCACCCGGGCTGCAAAAGTGATTACTGGGAAGAAAAGAAGCTGTTCTACAAAGGGAGCTGAGAACTTAGTACTTACAAAATAACCCAGTTATTTTAAACCTGCTCTGTGCTGTGCTGATGGACATGGAACACAGATTCAAACGCAGAAGTTGAAACTAACTTTCTTATAAGAAAATACAAAGGTTCAGATAGGAAGTATGACCTCATTGCATTTTGATATATATATTTCCTGAGCAGTGATGAGCTATCTCCATATACTTCCTGGCCGTTTGTCTGTCGTTTCTGGAGAAATGATTACCACATCCTTTGCCCAAACCTGGGTCCTCCACAAGAGCAGCAGCAAATGCTCTTAACCACTGATCTATCTCTCCAGGCCCCTTCTTCACACTTTCTTACAGAAGTTCCTTATCAGAGTCACGGTAGCAGAAATCCTCTCCCACTCTGATGGGCCCCCTTGTGCATACTAAGTACTTGCTTTATCACTGAGCCACCCCACCCCTACCCTAGCCATTCTTGCTTCACTGTAGAAACAAAACAAACAAACCTCAAAGCTGCCTGCAGGTGGGAATGGTGGCTGTGTCTATAAACCCAGCACTGGGGAGACAAAGGAAAAAGCAATGAGAGTACAAAACCAGCCTGGGCTACAAAGAAAGTTCCAGACCAATGCGGAATACATAGAAAGGCCTTCTCTCAAAACAAAACCGCAAGTAAAAGTAACATCGCTGTGCTAACTGGAAAGACACATCAATATGCACAAGCCTACAGCACGGGGGCAGCAAGAAAAATAAAATGCTGGAGCCAGTTTTAAGGGTGCATGCCTGTAACCCCAGCTCTGGGAGGAGGCAGCAGGATAGGAAGACAAGGTCATTTAGGGCTGCATAAACGCTGGCACTGGAGGCCAGCCTGAACTGGAGAAGGCTCTGTCTCAAAACAATAGAGGCAATAAATGAAGGTGAGAACTGAGGAAGAATTGCTCAGTTGCATGAGAAGCAGAGGCGAGCACAATTCCACTGAGAGATTGCCTCCTTCAAACTTCTGTTCCACAATGAGGCGCAACTAAACCATAAACTTACTTAACACATTGAGCGAGTTGATTTTTGTTTTGTTTTCGTTTTGTTCGGGCTTGGGGTTTTTTTGGTTGTAATTCAATTTGTGCAGGTCCCTAGTGAGATCTAGGGAGAGGTGATGCAACAGGCTGGGCTCCTGAGCAATACGTGACACAGAGGCCTGCATTTACCCTCCACTGCTTACTTTCCCCTAGGCCCTCTCCCAAGGTTTGGGGGTGGAGTTAGACGCCTGCGACAGACTGACTCTGAGCACCTGGGCTTTCACACTGATCCTCCATTAACAGACATGGCAGAAATGGAGATACTCTGAGAAATTCAACTCTTAATCTATCAGACTATTCAAACAACGGACCCCAAAGACAGGAGTATTTCCCTAAGAATCTCATGCTGGGAGAAGGAAAGAGTCCCAGACCAAGGGAGAAGGGGTCTCAGGGATGAGATTTCACACAGTTCTAACCTGTCAGACTACCTCACAAGACGACAATGATGAGCCAATGTTGGCCGGGCCACACTTCTGACACGGACTGCTTAGATATTCTTGGCGCTCTAGTTCACCTTTACTCTCACTTCAGAATTCCAAAGTCAAATTTGGCGTGGTTCCCTGGATCCCTTTGTCCCTCTTCCAACGCGGCTGCAACAAATAATTTTCTGCTTTCTACTTTTAACTTGGCTCTTTCGATTTGCTTATTGAGAATGGTGGCTAGATCGGACTTATGGCACAGGTTGTGACTCATAAATTCCCTAACACGATATTACGGTTTGGCCAAGGAGCACACGACTAGGCATCTGTGCGCAAGCGCAGCTGGAGGGGCGGGACAGCCCTCTGCCTGGCCCCGCCCCCGGCCCCGCCTCGGGCTTCCGCCGCCCAGCCAGCCCGCGTCCGGAAAGGCCACGCCTTAGCCGCCCGCGCGCCAGATTGGGCGCCGCCTCCCTCGGCTCGCGCCCCGCCCGGAGCTTACCGAGTCCCCTGCGGCCGGCGGCTCCTCGATCCTTCGTCGTCTCCATCGGCCCGGCGCCAAGCTGTCCATGCGGCTTTGCGTGCCGCCTCTCAGGCCACCCGGAGGCGGGACCACCCTACCACGTGCCTGAAGAAGCCAATGAGGAGATGCGGGGCGTAGCCTGCGGGGCACAGATTGTGCCCCACCGAGGGCTGCAGGCAGGAGTAGCTGAAACCCGAGTCGCCTACGTCCCTAAGTACAGGGACTCTTTCACCCGCCACAGGTCGACGCCTGGCTGTGACTGGCTTGTATTCTGTTCACAGAGTCAGTCCCAAAGGTCGTTTGTTCATTATCTACAACTTTTGCAACCCTTGGTCCGCGGGAGGCGCGCCCGCCTCTTCTCCCTTGTGATTGGTTACTCAGTCCTGATAGATGGATCTTCAGACCAATCGGCATGGCTAAAGCTGCACTGGGCGGTTCCCCGAGAGTTGAGGTCCGAAAGCTGTAAGGCTAGTTTTGCTCCGTGGTGCGAGAAAACGCGAATTTTCGTCTCGACCTTGCGGGTAGCGACCTGTAGTGGGTTTTTTTTTTTTTTTTTTTTCTGACTTGTCGTGAGCAGGCCCGGGGGGAACAGCCACAGGCATTGGGGTTGGAGTGCGGCTCCAAGCCCCGGCTATGCGGAAGGTTGCACACCGACTTCTTGAAGACTAGGCCAGCCTCTTCCTCCCTCTGGGCTCCACTGCAAAGCTCTGAACTGTAAAGTTCCCAGCCCCCTGTGCTTTATTGACAAATAAAATAGGGTCAGTACTTTGGCAGTGATTGGTTAGCAGTGAGCACGTGAGCTAGTTTGAATCAGTGAGAAGTAGAGAAGGTTGATTGAAGCAGAGTTCTAGGAGCTAGGCTGTGGGGTGCCTTTTTCCAGTTCTTCATCAGTGTTAGTTTCAAGGAGCGGGTGACAACAGCATTCACATCACCAGGAGGACCGCTGGTGGCAATGTTTGTGCAAAGTGGGTTTTAACAACACGTTTTCTGAGCTGTATCGCCCCTGGCTACACTCCACACTTCTCTTGTGAGGCACTCTGAGTTCCAGACCAACATGGAATACATAGAAATGCAGGAAATCATTATGAGTGCATGAAGCTCTCCTTCGGTTGCTGCTGCAGGATCTCCAGGTGGCTCTCTTACCTCTGTTCCTTGTAAGAGACAACAATAGCTACTGATAAGGGACTGGGAGATGTTTACCTATTTTAACAAACTTTGCAGGCTGAGCATGATGGCATATGCTTATAATCCCAGCACTAGGGAGGCAGAGGCAGGTGGATCTCTGTGAGTTCAAGGCCAGCCTGGTCTAAGTAGAGAGTTCCAGGATAGCCAGGGCTGCAAGGAAAGACCCTCCCTCGAATAAATAAATAAATTAATTAATTAAAATGATAATAAAGTACCTGGGCTGCCTCTATTGTAAGCCAAGCCCTCACTAGATCTGATGTCACTCCTCAGTGTTCCTAGCCAGACACTGACACTGGTTATGCACAATCTTGTGTCACACACCCTTCCCACCAGCTGTGGTTTAGGAATTCAGAGTCTTGAATTTTTTAAAGAGGCTGGGCAGTGTTTCTCTGGTGTTGGAGTTCTTGCCTAGTGTAGTAATCAGCATTCTCTAAAGAAACAGAATAGTTAGAAGGGAATTTTAAAGGGGAGAAAGGGAAATGGAGAACTGGGAGTCAAAGGTCATCATCCCAGTGAGTTGGAGGCTCATCTGAACTACTAGAAACTGTCTCAACAACAAAACACAGGGCTGGGCTTGTGGTGTACACTTTTAACCCCAGCATTTGGGGTGCAGAGACAGGCAGATCTCTTCTTCTGCATAGGGAATTCCAGCCAGCCAAGATTATTACATAGTAAGACACAATTTTGAAAAACAGAACAAAATTCATGGGCTGGAGAGATGACTTATTGCTTAAGAGTATCATGCAGAGTGCATGAGTTCAGTTCCCAGCACCTATGTCAGCTGACTCACAACTGCGTATAACTCCAGCTCCTGGGGATCCAGTGTCTTGGGCCAGCACTCACATACACACCCCCTCAAAAAATGTCTAGTTAAGAACAATAAAAATAAACCTTTATATTTAAAAGGAAGAAAGCAGCAACAACGAGAGAATACCAAATTGTTCAGGATTCCCTTTCTTTTTTTTATTTATTCTTTGTGTCTTTCACATCATGCCTCCCAATCCCACCCATCTCCCTCCCCACCTCAAAATAAAACAAAATAAAATTTAAGAGAAAAAGAAGGGGAAAAAGGAAGAAGGGGGAAATCTTGTCATGGAAGCTACAGTATGACACAGTGAGTCACACAGTAAACCCCTTTATCCATATATTTTTACTGGGCCCTCACTGGGACTCTTTCTGGACATTCATTGCTGCCCTGTATTGTGGAGCTCTTGCAGCCCCGTGTCCACAGGACTGACTCCATCCCAGCCCCCACCCCTGTGCTCCAGAAGGTCACAGATGGGGTGGATGTTGGAGTCTGCCAACACATAACCCTGGTTCTGGGTCTGAGTACTTGCAGGGTTGGTCAGCACACCAGCTCTCCCCTGTCTTTGCCACCAAGGTGATCTCTCCAGGACTGCCCTGACTAGTTAACCCCTTGCATCAATGAGCAAGAGGTGGAGTTTGTTCTCCAGCTTTTACGTTCTCTGGGTCAGTTCTCCCATACTCACACCTTAAGAGTCAGCTCTACTGTGTGACCCAGATAGGGTGTTGGGGCCACTCTCCCGGGTGCTGCAGCTTATGAGTGGCAAGGCCTCAGGTGTTGATGGGAGGGATGGCATCTCTCCCCTACCCATTTCTTCACAAGACAGTGGAGCAGTGGGAACAGCTCTCCCATGCTCACAGCTTCTGGAACTGGCTCCCCACACCTCCACCAACAGGGTTAACTCTCTTGAACTGCCCAGGTGAGGTACAGGGCCTGCTCTCCCAAGTGTTACAGATGGTGGCGGAGAGGGCAAGAACAACTTTCCCAATCTTGTGACCTCAGGGCCAGCTCTCCCACCTGTCTCAGGGGTTGATGTGGGTGGGGGACGGTAGACATCTTTCCCCAGCTCATGCTGCCTCAAGACTCAAGATCCCTTTCTTATAGGAGTGTGAATGAAATCTCATCTGCTCAGAGCTATCTGACTCCCTGCTGACCTCTCAGAGGGTCAGGTCTTACAGATAAGTGACATAAGTGTCTCGGGTCCTGGACTCTTTTAGGAACAGCTCCATTTTGAGCCTGCTTTTTTTTCTTTACAAGATGCTTGCCAGGTATCAGTGGTGGACACCTTTAATCCCAGCACTCGGGAGGCAGAGATAGGTGGATCTCTGTGAGTTTGAGGCCAGCCTGGTCTACAGAACGAGGACAGGCTCCAAAGCTACAGAGAAATCCTGTCTCAAAAAACCAAAAGAAAAAAAAATATGCTTGATCCAACTCCGAAACCATTTCCCCGCTCCGTACTCCATACACTAGGTACAACAGGGGGTTTATGTAGAAAGGCTGGAGATGTTGCTCGGCGATTGCACAGGTTTGGTCCCCAGTGCTGTTAAAATGAAAGGAAGATGGACTTCAGCTCAGATAGTTACAAAACACTGGTCATCTTAGACGTGTATTAGAGCTCTCCTATTAGTTAAACTCTCTCTTAAACTTTCGTGTTTGGTGTTGGTGTAGGCTCCAAAGCAACAAAGAAACCCTGTCTCAAAAAACAAAAAAACAAAAAACAAAACTTGCTCCCACTGCCACCCACGTTTCTACTGTCTTTGTAAGTTAGTGGGTGTGCGTGGCTTGGAACAGGGCCTCACTATGGAGTCCTGGTTGGCCTCAAACTCACAGTGATCCTCCTGTCTCTACCTCGTTAAGTGTAGCCATTACAGTTGTACACCATCATGCCAGGCTATCTGTAAGTTTGACTAGACTCAGGACCCGACATAAGTGGAGTCAAGAGTATCTGGATCTTTGTAGTGGCTCTGCTGGGTATGAATAAATTTGAGATCATCAGCGCTGTAGCGCGTGTTGACACTCCCTCCTTCCTGAGGCAGAACCACACTGCGGGTCAATTACACGGCATGTATGCTTTCATCCATTACTGGGTAGCTGGCTTGCTTCCATGTTTTGTTTTTTTTTCCATTTTGTGGGAAAATGCCGCTAGAAACATGGGTGCCCCCTGTTTCAGTTACCTGATGTATAGTTCTAGAAAAACAAAAACAAAAACTGCTGGCTCGTGGGTAATTGATCTTTCTTTCTTTTGGAAACACAATTTTTGGTTGCAGCTGCAGTGTTTTCCGTTCCCACCAACCACACATGAAAGTTTCCATTTCTTCATTTGTCATCTAACACTTGGCACTCTTGCAGGCAGCCACCCTAATGGCAGTAATGCTATAAATCCAAATGGTTTTCCTTTCATTCCCTAATAACTAACGAAGCTGATCATCTCATGTGCTTATTGGCCATCTGGCTATCTTCTTTGGAAAAATATCTATCCATCCAAGGTCTTCGTTTTCATTTAAATCTCCATGTCTGAATGTTTGTATATGTATTTATTTATTTATTATTATTATTATATGTGTATGAATCAGGTGAGTGTCCCCACAAATGTGTGGAAGTCAGAGGACTGCTTTCAGTACTAGCTTCTCTACTTCTACCATGGCTGCTGGAAATCCAGTTCAGGTCTTCAGTCTTAGACAGCAACTACTTTCACCCACTGAGATATCTTGTGTGTTTGTGTGTGTGTGTGTGTGTGTGTGTGAAAACTTGCATACAGCTCCCTTGCAAAGTCACCCCAAATTCCAATGACTCTTGGAAAAAGGGTTGCCACCTCGGCCCTTCCTACTGTGAGGTGAAAGATAACATGTTTATTGTCTACTAGCGTGGAGTCTGGCTTGCGGTGGGCATTTAATAATGTTCTCACCCTCTCTCTTCTCTCAGTTCTTCTTTGGTGTTCAGTATAAAGTTATTTTACCTTGGAGCTTGCAGTTTCTAGAGATATGACGGTGACACCATATTTCCTGAGAATGTCTCCCTTCTCTACTCGGCACCTGATCTTCTCCATCATTTTTTACGTTTTTAATCGAATGTCCCTTCCTCAGAGGAGCTGTCTATGTCTGACTACCTAACCTAAAGCAGCCACCCCAGTCCTCTGAGTGGCCCCATCTCGGCTCTCTGATACTGGTCGTCATGCAGTAGTTTTCCTATTTAATTGAAGGCGTAAGTCACAAACAATGCCACACCAGTTTGGAATTATGATTAATAGGGTGGTATTTATTTAAAGGGGGAAAAAACTTACAGATCACCATA